GGGGGGGGGGGGGGGGGGGGGGGGGGGGGGGGGGGGGGGGGGGGGGGGGGGGGGGGGGGGGGGCACTCCGAGAGGTGTTATCCGAAGCAGTAGTCGTTGTGGCTACATAGACAGCAGCAGGAGGTGGTTGCCACGAGTTGGGAAGAGCGTGGAGCGTTGCGCATACACCGCCGTCGGGAACAACGGCCGACGGTACTCGACAAGCCTTCACCGTGCAAGCAAGTCGTGAGATTTCGGATGTTGTGCCGGAGCAGCACGATGGGAATAGTACTTGCGCACTCTCAAATGTTCGAGAGATACAAGGGGTGTCGTACCCAACGCCACCAAAACGCCAGCGGCAAGGGTGTGGGTGATGTCTCTCGCGTCGCCCGTGTGGCGGCCACGACATGGAACCAATTCCAGGGGGGTGCCGATACTTCGCGGCGTCGGAACACGTCCCACGGAAATCTTGGCAGGTCTTGCTTGGCAAGGTCTTAACAACAAAGACAAGTTGTGACGGCGGCATACGGGAGGCGTTCTTTATGCGCCTTTCTATCTCGTTGAGGCTGCGGGGTAATAAAAACCGTCCAAAAGCGACAACAAAAAAACAACTCAGGGCTAGGAGAGCACGCGTTTTATCGTACTCTTTTAACACCTCTGTGTCTTCGATTGCGAGCGTAAAGTGGCAGTCCGCCCCGTTCTAGCAGCAGCGACCACCTGCAGCAAAACGCATGCACTCACCGCCCCCAATCCTGACGTAGGTGCGGAGTTCCTCTTGCCGCTGAGGAGGAGTCGGTGCCTCCGTAGCTACGACCGCCGCCGTATGATCTACCTCCACAGCCGCCGCCGTCGATGCTTCTTCTCCGCCGCTTGTCCATGCCCCTCCTCCCTCGGGAGGTGCTGCGCCCCGGCCCGATTCCTGGCTGTGGGCGGCGGGGCTCTTGCCCACAACGGTGTTGCCAGACGAAAGCGCTGCCGCCGCCGCCGCCGCCGCCGCCGCTGGAGGCTGGGGGCTGCTACTGACGGGAGAGGAAGCCTCCGCCGCTCGTGGCTTCTTCTTGGGGCTGGCATTTCCGGCGGTGTCGCAGCCAGCGGCAGCGGCAGCGGCAGTACTCTCTCCGTCTTTCGCCTCGCCCGGGTTTTTCTCGCCGCTCTCGGTCACCGCGCTCGCTTCATCCATCGCTTCGCCCTGCCCTCGACCGGTGGCAGCCGAGATCTTACGCTTTTTGCTGTTGGCCGCATCCGATTCGGGCGAGTCCAACGTCGCCGCCGCCTGCCCCGTAGCAGGGGCGTCTCTTGGTTCCGAATTGCCGGCCTCGTGAACCTTCTGCTTCTTCTTCGGAGCAGGAGCCTCCTTGCCGCTGTCTGCGGGAGGGGGAGGGACGGCCGCGTCAGCTTCCGAAAGAGGGCGCTTCTCAAGACGCCCCCCCCCGCCGACGACACCCCCGTCCGCTACCACGGCAACCGTTCCCGCCCCAGGTGCGCTATCTGTCGCCGCCGCCGCCGCCGCCGGACCACCACCCACCCCGCTCGTTCCACCGCTCTCCTCCGCCACCGTTGCTGGGTCAACGGCAGAACTTGCCACAGCGGCGGGTGCCTGCATGCTTCCCTGCTGCAGCTTGCCCGCCTTCCCCTTCTTGGAGCCGAGGGCGTCTTCTTTCGTCGCCCAGCCGCTACCCCCGGCGGCACCGGCCACGAGCGGAGTGAAGTGCCGCGCCGCCGGCTTGGACTTCTTGGCTTTCGGGGCCGGTGTCTCCTTCTTCTCGCCTGTCGCCGATGCTACCGCGGGTGCGGCAGCGGGCCTCGGGGCGGTAGCGGCGATGGCAGCGGCAGCGACGGCGGCGGCGCCGCGTACGGGAGTTCTCGGCATCGCCACCGCCGTTGCCGGAATGGGAGACAACGGTGCCGCTGGGCTACCGCTTGCGCGGACGGCGCCGCGCGATGCGCGCGGAGGGGAGAGAGCGACGGTGTCCCGCGGCGGCGGCGGCGGCGGCGGCGGCGGCGGCGGCGGCGACAACGAGGCCTCGACCGCGGTAGTAGCGTTGGTGCTCGAAATAACAACGCCGATAGGTTCCTGCTTGGTCTTGGGGGGGGTTGGGGGAGCGGCCGGGGACCCTGGCGGGGTCTTGCCGCCCCGCGGCGGTCCGCGACGTCGTCCCGCCGAGGTAGCCGTCTTGCCACGGGAACCGTTCGTTGCCGCCGCAGTTTCCGTTGCGGAGGCCGCCGCCGCCGCCGGAGCAGCCGGAGCAGCGGCAGCAGAGGATGTTGCTGCCGTCGCCTTGGTTTCCCCCGCCGCTGAAGCACTCCCTTTCTTCTGACTGTTTTTAGGAGGCGGGGCACCCTTCTTCTTGATCGGTCTTCTCGTGAACGTGTCGGCTCCTTTGGCTCCTCCCGCTGCCGCCGGCGCCGGCGCCGCCGCTGCTGTCGAAGCCCTCTTTTTGCTTTTCGCTGAGGCGGCGGTGGGCGTCTTGCCGCCCTTGACTGCTGCTGTTGATGCCCCATTCTTGGGACCAAGTTTTGTCGTGCTAGCAGCCTTGGTCCCCACCGATGATTGGTCGATGTCGGCCACGGAGCCCAGCGCTGGCTTGGCGGGAGAGCTCTTGCTGCGGCTCCGACTAGCAGGGCCGCCTCCAAGTGCGGCGGCGATCTGCTTCTTCCCGTTGGATTTCTTTCTTCGAGCAGCAGGAGCGTTAGCCTTTCCCAACGTCGGGGAAGGACTGGAGTCCACCACCTCGATCACCTGCGGCTGCGCCGCCGGTCTGGAGGAATGCTTGCTGTTCACGGGAGCTGGAGACGGTGCTGTTGCTCCCGATCCTGCCGCTGACTTGTGCTGCTGCCGCTGCCTGCCCCGACGGGCTGGCACCTCCTTGTCGATCGGGACATCGGGCGACAGGGACCGCAGGGGGGCTCGATCCGACTGGTCTCGGACGACCCAGGCATCCAGCGTGCGCTTTGCGCGAGGCGGTGCCTTGCTGGGACCCTTGCGGCCTCTTCTGCTGCCGCTACTCTCCTGCTGAGATGATTTCTTCACGCCGCCGCTGCTACCCTTCTCGCTAGCTGCGGCGGACGCTGCTGTTCCGCCGCGCTTCGCATTCGGCGTGGCTGAAGGCGTCACGATACCGGGCATGGTGCAGGGTTCGACTTTGCCAGAGAGAGAGAGAGAGAGAGAGAATACGGCGAGATCGTGGTGAGGTCAGCAGGACAGAGCGGCTGCCACACGGACGCTTGAAAGCACAAGTGCTGCTCTCTTCGTAACACCGAAACAAGCACACATGCATGGCAAGATTCGAAATATGGGGCGTCCGCGACTTGGAGTTGGACACACCAACCCCGGGACAGCAATTTTCAAAAAGGGGCTCCGTAGCTCATCTTTCCCGCGCAACGCTCTACGCGCGGCGCACCACGGCACATACTTGCGCATTACCGCATCACGTTTGTTGTGTGTTGTTGCTCGGAATCATCATTATATACTCTGGAACAACCGGTTCTGCAGCAACGCGTGTACTTCGACGTCGTATCGGCGTGTGTTATTGTTTTTTTCCCTACTGCTGTTGGCTATTTTTTAACTTGGACTTTCTGAACAACACTGCTGTTGTTCCGAAGTCGATGGCCTTCCTTACCGTTGGCATGTCATCAATTTAATATCGAGAAACATCTGCTCTGATACAATGACGTTATATCTGACCTTTTTCTGGTTATTTGCCGCGTGGGGGCACACGTTTCCTAGTGTGTGTTCGGCACTTGTACTTCAGTTGGACTCAGTTTGAAACCTAAGTTTTCGCTCGCCGTTATTGTTTTGATTTTGCAACCCAGGGCAATTCGCTCTTGAAATTTTACTGTCGTACGGACCCTTGAAAGTTCAAGTCCTTCGTCGTTTGTGTTAGATGCAAATTAAAATTAGAATAGGTTTGTTGTTTTGTTTTGTTGGACTCGCGCGCGTAATAAGAGAAAAATATAAGTCGAAAATCAAATCATAAAACTAAAAAAAATGAAGTAAAATTAAAATTAATTATACTCCGTATAATACAAAGGACGAAGACCCGTGTTATTATCAATTTGCTGTTCTAACCTGCCTTCCATTTTCAATAGGGAGAGTCTCGGATTCGGATTGACTCCGTACCATCTTCTTTTTGGCTTACTGTTGTGCGCACACACACATTCTTGATGGGCGATATCAATATCGATATCGCATGCAAGTATTGAGGCGTATTGCGTGTAATATAATTATTGGGGCGACGCTCGGGAGAAATACCGGACAAATACCGGTATCGCCGGTATGGTACCGGTATGGACTGCCATACCATACCGGGATGTTCGGTACGTTCGGTATGGACTTGAATACCTTACCGAAGTGTTCGGTACGTTCGGTACGGACTTCAATACCTTACCGAAAATACCGGTACGTTCGGTATGGACTTCAGTACCTTACCGAAGTTTTCGGTACGTTCGGTACAAATACGGAGTTGTTCGGTACGGTACCGGAATGAACTGTCATACCACACCGGGATGCTCGGTACGTTCGGTACGGACTTCAAATACCTTACCGAAAATACGGTACGTTCAGTATGGACTTGAATACCTTACCGAAGTGTTCGGTACGTTCGGTATGGACTTGAATACCTTACCGAAAATACCGGTACCGTACCAAACACACCCTTCTGGAAGGGGATATATAATTTTTTTAATGGTTGTAAACCACACCCACGACCATCCTGAGTACTATAAATACGTTACATTTGGCGTCAAAAAAACTACCATTCGGAATGACTGCCATTTGCTGCTGTCATCTGCACACAAAGGAAGCACAACATGCCAAATACCATCATCATAGCAGGATGCAGCGCACCCGCGCCGAATACCTCACGGCGCTTTGCGCTTGGTGATGGAGGGCTTGGTCAAGTGAAAACCGGAGGCGTGCTGACTTCCGTAGGGATGCGAGGTCAATGGTCTAACGGGTACGGCATGCACGGTTACGAGTACCCCGCTCCCCCCCTCCCCCCCCGCCCACCCCAGGACTGCACCCACACCACCTCACTGACTGGAGTGTCGCCTCAAAAAATGGAAAACCGTAAGGATTTACCTACAACTACAAAATAGGGGTTACTAACCGACGGCGAGAGTTGCAACAAAAACAGCTAGGCGTTGTTGATGCTACGGGGGAACGCACCCTGGATGCGTGGATGATGACTACTTCCTTAGCCTCGAACATCAACAACAACAAAAAAGGAAAAAAATATACAAGTACAACAAGCAAAAATCGATTAGATTTCACACAAACACATGCGGACAGAGAGAGTGCTACGGCACGGATCGTGAAAAAAAACATGCACAAAAGCTGATCATAAGGTACATGTATGTGTATCGTACTTAAGGTCGCGTGTCTATGCACTGTCCTGCTACGGCTTCGAAAACTCACACCGCATACCGTAAGTGACGTAAGATATCACACCCCCTGGACCGAAGTTAAACGCTCGACTATGGGACGACGAAGGGAATGCCACCGTCAAACAGCGCATTTTCGGAAAGCTCTCGACGAGGCACTTCCAACGCCGCCATTTTCGGTACCATTGTTGTTCTTGCTGCAAAGCAATCAAGCTCCGAAAAATGAGTCCCATAGGGTTTGATATCTTGCGTAGAAGTCGCGTACTCAACTCAAATCTCGCCTCGTACAAAAACAACCATTTTGAAACCAGAAAAATACCACCGAACAGACACATTTTTTCCCTCCCTACCCCTTTGCCAAGCGAAAACGAGGCCAAAAAACTAACCTGGCGTTTGGTTCGTTCGCGTAAGCTCCAATGGCATTGCTATTAGCAAATCATCCTCAACCTATGGTAGATAACACGGCCCCATATTTTAACACAACATATATAAACCTTAACTGCACAAACCTTTACAGCACTACCAACAAACCTCGCATTGACAGGGTGGGGGGAAAAGATGCCGTGTAACAGCGGCGGGGCTTACCGATACAGCAAAGTGTACTGCGCTCCCCCCCCCC